AGAGGGTACAGGTGAAAGTGTGTCTCCCCTACACCAGATATCAGGGAAGCAATCAATTACTAGGACTGTGTCAAAAGGACTCAGGAGCCAAGTTAAAGAGGCTCCCACTGGCCAAAGATGGGATAATTTGAGCTTCAATAAGGATAGTAACTTCAATGAATTGAAAACCATCAATGAATTTAAATCCATAAATTGATAATGATGCACTTCCTCCCCCCCCCCCCCAAATTATAAGAGAAAGTTTATTAGAAAGTTACAGGAGTAGTAGAAGTGAGTCAACTGGGCTGCGTAGGCTCAGGAAACAAGTTACATACACAAAAGAAGGGCTCTTGGAGCTTAGGAGAGAGAAAGGCAAAGGTAACGACCCTGGGGGAAAGAGAAGGGGAAAGGAAAGGTGCAGGTGTGCTCCTGAGAGGGGGAGCATGCTGATTATGATGTTTTTGTTTGTTTGTTAAATATGTTTTTATTGATTTCAGAGAAGGGAGAGGGAGAGAGAGAGATAGAAACATCAATGAGAGAGAAGCACTGATCGGCTGCCTCCTGCACGCCCCCTACTGGGGATCGAGTCCACAACCTGGGCATGTGCCCTTAACAGGAATTGAACCATGACCTCCTGGTTCATAGGTAGATGCTCAACCACTGAGCCATGCCAGCTGGACCCAATCATGATGTTTTAAAAAGAAAACTAACTGGTCACCTTCTGGGGATGACAGAGAACCAATTCATTACTTTGAAAACTGGACAAAGGAAAGAAAGATTTATCCTGCATTTCCTATATGACCTATACAACAAAATCATTCCAGCTAATATTTGAAAACAAAATTATAATGAGAATATCATTGTTACGCCATCTCCAATGAAGTAACAGATCTAGACACCAAAAAACAGCTACTGGAATTTTGACAGGGGTTACACTCAATCTACAGGTCACTTAGGAGAGTACTGCCATCTTAGTATTAAGTAGAAGATGACACACTATGAGTGACACTATCAACTTTATTAGGGAAAATGCTTCTCTACAGTCGAGGCCAGTACATCTGCATGGAATCTCCCCTTAAACCCATCTACCAATAGGACTGACACAAACGGTGGCAGTGGTAGACAGAACAGCAGCATCACCCAGTGTGACTTCTGTCCACTTTGACATGTAAAACAGTTATCTCCCCTCCTGATTTCAACAATTTTGGCAGTGTAGGGAACAGTATTATACAACAGTAAATAAAAGTTTATATGACCAGAGCAGTGGGAAGACAATTTTTTCCTTGTTCAATCTGCCCACTACCCAACAGTTGCCAAAATAAATGAGAGGGAGCTAGGCAGGTTTTGGTTTTGTGATTTATAACCAAACCACAGAACTGGGACAAGGGCCTTTCACTTCTTTCACATAACTGTTTAAAACATTAACTCAGTGGAAGATGCGAAAAGTTTCCAAAAATATTCCAGGAGGGTGAGGAAGTGGTAATCATAGCATATTCAGCCTTTGCCTGTTTCCACTGTACCCAAAAATGATCTACTCCTATGGGCTTGGAAAACAGAGCCTCTACTTAGAATACATTGTGTCTTAATTTTTCCACAAACTTCTGCATTCATTTTCTCTTCCTGTTAAACCTTGGAAGGTTTATCAAACAAGGACAATCCTGACCTTTTAATATAGTAAATGTTCCTTCATGTTCCTGGCTTATGTGTTTTGGCAGTGCAGTTCTGCCACAAGTGCTGGCAGGGAACATGCAGTATTCCCACTGAAATAACATGGACCTAATAACATTGTTTCTGGACATTGTCCTTCAGCTTAGTTCTCGTGGAAGAATGTGAACCTCAGAGCTTCTGCTGGAGATAAATCACAAGGTCCAGGTCAAGGGGGCTCTCATGGTTCACCTTGGCCCAAAGAGAAAGCTGTCCCCTTGTTCCCTGAAGGGAGGAATCATGTCTAACTCTAATTTGTAATTACCCCTCGCCCAGTTTTTGGCACCTCTTTTATACTCAGCCTACAGGCTTTGTTCAGTAGGTATTGGGTAAATGTAGTGAGCAATCAGTCTCTAATCTAGTGGCCATCAAAATCATCTGTAAAACTTTCCAAAGACACAGGTCAGAAACTCTGCCCAAGATTTATTCAGCAGGTATAAGGGTGGTATCCAAGCATTTCCAGTTTAAAATACTCCATAAGCAATTCCGTTGAGAATCTCAGGTTTAAGGAACACTCCCTTCTCTACTCTTCAGCTAACTCATTTCACTTGAAAGAATAATACTGTGTGGCCATATTGGGAGAGAAGGGAAGGTTTTCCTCCCTGGCCTCTAAGAGATGTAAGTCCTAAATTAGACTCAGGCCCCTCATTTTCAATTTGACTGGCAAAAAATAAGTGCCACCTTTACAACAACAGTCCTTCACATTATCCCAGCCATGTCCCTGTGCATTAATCATGTCTTACATTTTTTTTCTGTATTTTATGAAGTTTTAAAATCTTGCTGGTGGGGAGAATGCCCTTTCCAGGGCTAATTCCTAAAGACAGTAATCAACTTACTTGGCAGCTGCCTCTTATATGCAAAGCAATCAGCTCCTTTAACTCTCACAAAGCCAATATTACCCCTACCTAAATCATCCAAAGCCAGGTACCAGGCAACTAGAGACCATTCCTACTGCCCAAAGCCTGCCAAAATTATTTAAACTAGCTAGTCCTTAAAGATTTACCCTGCCCTGTCTTGCCTTTCTCGTGGAACAAAGGCAAGACAGCTTTCTCCTAAGCTTTCCCCTCACTCCTGCTTCTGCCTTCTGGCCAAAATCTTCCTGTGGTGTGGCACGCCTCTTCTCTCCAGAAATAGAATACATTTTTCTTTCAATGGCTTTGGCCTCGCCCTGGATGGTTGACCTAGCTCTGGCTGGTGTTGCTGGCTGGTTAGAGCATTGGCCTGGGAACCAAAGGATCGCAGGTTCGATTCTCAGTCAAGGGCTCATACCTAGATTGTGGGTTCACTCCCCATCCCCAATCAGGGCGCATGCAGGAGGCAACCAGTCGATGTGTCTCTCTCACATCGATGTCTCTCTCTCTTTCTCTCTCACCCACTTCCATTCTCTCTGAAAAGCAATAGAAAAAATATCCTCTAGTGAGGATTAGTAATAGCGTTGTCGTCACCTAGTCACCTCTATAAATTAAAATCTCACCAGTACAAATGAGACACCCTACCCCACACATTCCTCTATGCTGCCTACCACTCTTGTGCTGTCTACTTTACTCATCCATTTGGAAATCATACTACAAACTAACTTAGGTTTCCGAAACCAAGTAACAACTCCTAAATTTCTTCATACAGAAAAAGCTCTTGGAAATTCTATTAGCATCTGACACTCAGCACTCAGAGCCAAAATGTAGTATGGCCCAACAATTGCTCTCCTAGGTATATATACAAGAGAACTAAAAACACAACTCGCCCTGGCCGGTGTTGCTAAGTGATTAGAGTATTGGCCTGTGGACTGAAGGATCATGGGTTCGATTCTGGCCAAGGGCATGTACCTCAGTTGCAGGCTCGATCCCCAGCCCATCAGGGCACCTGCTGAAGGCAACCAGTTGATGTGTCTCTCTCACATCAATGTTTCTCTCTCTGTCTCTCCCCCTCCCACTCTCTCTAAAAATCAATGGAAAAAATATCCTTGGGTAATTAACAATAACAAAACACACACAACTTGTACATGAATGTTCACAGCAGCATTATTTATAAGAGCCAAAAAGCAGAAATAGCCCAAATGTCCATCAACTGGTAATAAACAAAATGTGGTATATCCATACAAGGGAATATTATCCAGCCATTAAGAAAAATGAATTGATTCATGCTACATGAACAGGATGTTAAGTAAAAGCCAGACAGAAAAGGCCACACACTGTATGAATCCTTTTGTGTAAAATGTACAGAATAGGCAAATCCATAGAAATAGAAAGTACATTAGTCATTACTAGGGGATGAAGTTAAGGGGGACTGGGGAATGACTGTTAATGGTACAAAGATTTCTATTTGGGGTTATAAAATGTTCTGGAATTAGACAGTGATGACGGTTGCACAACCTTGTAAACGTCCTAAAAACCACTGAATCGTACACTTTAAAAGGATTAATTTTATCTGTGAATTATATGTTTATCTTTATTGTTATATATACGTATTTTAAAAACCTCTACGTATTATTCTCTTCCCTCCAGACCTACTCTTCCTGTATTCCATTATTTCAGTGCTTGAGACCACATTCTACTCAGGTGCTTGGGCCAAAACCTAAATTGTAACAAATAGCTAGGTCATGACAATTCAAACGTCTTAATATATTTCTCCTTTCTCTCCACTCCACATGCTAATTCAGGCCACCCTCCTTTCTCACCTAGATTATAGCAGTCTCCTTATGGGCCTCCAGTCTTGCCGCTCCAGATCCATTTTTACACTGCCACTAGAACGTCCTTTAAAAACTGCCCCCAAGCTGAAGTTCAAACCCTTAATGGGATTTATAAACTTCAAATGTCGGCCCATGGCAAACCCCTCCAGCCAGGCTGGAGGCCGCATCACCTCAGCCCCAGCCGCACAGGATGACGCTCCAGCTACCACCCACTGAGCTCCAGGCCTCCACCTGTTTGCCGCCACCTCCGGAAGGAAGCTCTCCCGCCCCGTCCGGCCCCATTGGGTGGGTCTCCAAATCCCCCTCCCTCCGTTTACTCGTCGGCTCCTCAGGCAGGTGCGCTCTGAGGGCCGCCACTGAATCGGCAAGCATTTCCTGTGTGGACAGTGGTGGACCCAAACTTCAACTCAAAACTGTGGCGTTGTCCTGAACTCACCCCGACTTCTCAACTTTTAATAGGCTTTGCCGGGCGCCACTGCACTAGCAGCTACAGACGCCGTCCAGCCTTGTGGCCACGCGGCCCTAGGACAGAACGCCGCACGGTGCACCGCCGCGCCGGCCTCGCAACGCCTCACGCCCTCCGGAACCACTCTTCGCTGCGCGCCCCGGCCGCAGAGGAGGACGGGAAGCAAACCTCCCGGACCGCTCTGCGCCTGCGCAGACGCAATTGTCCGCGGGGAGCCGGCGGCGCATGCGCAGGCTCGAGGCTCTCCGTTGAGAGGGTGCCGTGGCGGCGCCGGAGGTAGGAGGGGCCGGGCTTTGGGGCTAAGAGTCTGTAACTGGGAGAAGGTCCAACCATCTCGGGCCTTTTCGCTCTCCGAAGGCAGAGGACCCTTTCTCGCCCGCTTCCAGCCGCGGGTAGACGTAGGAGCCACGCTTGGATGGAGGAGGCCGGGGCTATCTGAAGGGAGGAGAGGTGGGGGCATCCGGCTACACACGGAGTCACTGCCCGGGGGTCCGTTAGGCGATCGTAGTTCGCTGTCAGGGTCCTCGGCAGCATCTCTTCAGGTTGCGTCCCCTGCCCGTTTCCCTTGTGTTGCGGGTTGAGGGGAGCGGGAGGGTCCGCCCCTCACCTGCCTATTCATTCTGGCGCCGCGGTAGGTACAGCACTGAGTAGGCACAAGTCGCCGGCTCTCTGGAAACCCGCGGTCTCCTAGGAGCCGCTACTTCCTTAAGCAAATGCCGATTGAGTACGTATAGGAGAGAGACTGTCTTAAGGACAGAGATGTGGAGACAGGGCTGTGTGGAGGGTGGAGTTTGCTCACCACATCCAATAGGATACAGTTCAGTTTGCTTAGCCTGACGTTCCAAGCACTGGGACCCTGACCTCGGCTTCTCCCTGAAGCCTTCTCTCCTATCCCCACCATCTCTTCGCTCTGATGACAGCAACCTCTTTGCAGTTAAACTAACAATTGTCGATCACTTTTTCCAAGTCAGGTGCCTGTCAGCCAAGGAGAATATGAAGTAAAATAGATGAATCTGTGCCCTCCTCAAGTTTTGAGCTTAGTAAGGGACAGATAAATAAGTAAGTGAATAAAAATATAAGAGCTGATGCCCTGGACCCATACTGCCTGGGTTTGATCCCAGCTCTGCCACTTCAGAAGCTGTTTGAACCTGAGCCAGCTCCTCATTCATGTGCTTGATTTCTTGCCGTAAAGAAGGGATGACAATAGATTCTAAGGAACAGGCTTGTTGTAAGGATTCAATGAATTAGACTTGTAAAGCAATTGGACTGGTGCTTGACATGCAGCAAGCCTTCATTCAATATCTACTACATATGATTATAACTTGTGATAAATGCTATTGTGAAAACTGCGTGATGAAAGAAAATAATAGAGGTGGAGAGGTTGTACTGAAAGGATGAGGGGAAGCTTCTCTAAGGAGTTACATGGAAGATGTGAATGTGTCAGCCATGCTAAGTAGATTTGAGGTCTGTGTGTCTGCCCAGCTCTGGAAAACTAGATGATTAATCGAATTAACCGAACAGCGGAGATGGCATTATTGGATTTGAAATGAACTTTCTGCCATTGAGTCAATTTTGATTTTGGTTTTTGAAACCCACTAAACAGTGCTGATGTAAATAATCATGCCCATAAGGCCCAACCTTTGCATTGGGCAGCATTCTAGCAACCTGAGTTTGGAGAGCTCTTACTGGGGTGAGAGGATGGGGAAAGGGGACTTTTTTTACTTGGAAAATTGGTTGTATCAATGAAGGATGAGTCTCCTGTGTTCCCATCTTTGTTCCTGTCTCCTGAGTGTTCAAGGGCGTATCATTCCCATTCTCTCTCTCTCTCTCTCTCTCTCTCTCTCTCTCTCTCTCTCTCTGTCATTACATTGCCTGCTGATAGAGCCTCTGATAGTTTTTCTGGATTTGGGAATCATCATGTTTTTGTGGTGACTGCACTTCATGGAATTCATTCCCCAGATTTCAGCAAAAACAATACTCTTTCAAGATGCCCAAGGTTTTCTGCCTGTGAAAGAACATGCTTTGATAGATTTCTAGACATCCCCCCCCTCCCACCCCCACACCCCTTGAGTTGTGTTGTGATGTCTTATAGGATGATGGCTCTGTGTTAATCAGGCTGTACCTGAGTATTGACAGGGGTATTGATACTCCTATACTCCACATGCTCCTGGAAGAAATGGCATAAAATGACAATATCTGTCTAATTATACTTATATGCTTTTGTTTTTCCACAGATGTAAAATTAAATGAACCAAATGTTCTTTATCACCATGGAGATACTGAAGAATCACCTGAGCAACAAGTTCATATGTATTCTATCCCAGAGGCATCTATTGGACAATAAAACCTCTCAAATGTGAACTTTAACAGAGGGAAGCTTTAAAGATGCTGTTTAACACAGGCGCAATTTGAAGAAAGACATTTTAAATCATTATGGAGGGAAAAACAGTACTTTTTATTCAATTTTTCAAACTCTCCAGGTATCTCAGTGAGAATTAAAGAGGAACCCTAATGAAGCTGGGATTCCGAATGAGGCCCAGCTAGGCTCATTCTTGGACCCCCAGATTGACCCTCACTCCTCTGAAAACAAGCTTGGAAGCCTTAACACTGGCCAGATGATGGATGAGTCAGATGATGACTTTAAGGAACTCTGTGCCAGTTTTTTACAAAGGGTGAAAAAGAATGGCACCAAGGAAGTGTCAGGGGAAAGGAAGACAAAAAAGTCCTCAAACATCACTCAGCTAACAAGCAAACCAACTGCTACCAAGAGCAAAACCCTTCAAGGCCCCAGGGAGAGGAAAACTCGATCTGGCAGCCAAGCCACAAGGACAAAAAAGCAAGGGGTACCCAAGTGGCAGGAGAGTGAACCAGCCCCCTCTGAAAATGGAGAGGGAAGTGTGCTTGCTTCTGCTGTGCTCTGGAAGAGTGCATGGAGCACCCAGACAGGTAACCCAGCTGGAAACATTGCCAAAACTTCCACAGAGAAAACCAGAGGTGATTTGTACTATTTTAAACCAAGAGCTGGAAAATTTTCTGTAAAGGGCCATGTAGTAAATATTTTTTGGCTTTGCAAGCCATATGGTCTCTGTCACTACTCCTCAACTCCCTAGACTCGTGGTCGGCAAACTGCGGCTCGCGAGCCACATGTGGCTCTTTGGCCCCTTGAGTGTGGCTCTTCCTAAGCCTTAGGAGTACCCTAATTAAGTTAATAACAATGTACCTACCTATATAGTTTAAGTTTAAAAAATGTGGCTCTCAATAGAAATTTCAATCCTTGTACTGTTGATATTTGGCTCTGTTGACTAATGAGTTTGCCAACCACTGCCCTAGACAATTACTTAGTAAGTAAATGAACTGTGTTCCAACAAAACTTCATTTACTAAAACAGGCAGCAGCCTGAGGACCATAGTTTGCCGACTCCTGTTTTAAATGATAGTCATAAAAAAATATAAGCCCTGTGTGACTTTTCCACATGATTATGTTTGGGCCCTCTTCTCTTTCATTTCCTGTTAATGTTTACATTATATAGTTGACATGAGTTACATGAACATGAAAATAATGCTGCTTCTCCCATTTTCTTGAATTCGTTCCACAGTGGGTACCATATGTTTCTGGAGAATCTTCAGTCCTTCCTTTCTCCTCCAAACAACATTTTTCCCTTTTTTGGATAGGAGAGGCAGTTTGTTTGTAGCTTTCTTACTCTCCTGCCCTTGATGTACTAAGCCATATGCTCAGCATACATTCTTCATGCAAAGCTGAAAACCAGCCTTGCATAGATAATACAGCATTAGGTCTTTGGGCACCTGCATTGTGTTTCTACATTTTTCTCACCTTCACTTCCTGATTTTAATGGTATTTTTACCCAGTATAGTCAGCATGACCTCTCGGTGGAGTGGTGGTAAAGACTTAGCTCACAGAGACTGTTGTAAGGCTTCAGTAATGTTGCTAAAATGTTGTTTGTCCCTCATGCTCCCTCTGAGAGTCTAGTGAAGGTATGCATGATTCCCCCAGAAAACTGCACCCCCACAAATACCTGCAAAATTGATGTATAACTTCAGGGACTTCACGGATCCCCACTGGAGGCCTCTGTGGACACCAACTTAAAGGAGAACTTCTGACCTAGAAAGATATAAATGTTTCTCATTAATATTTCTTTAATAACAGTTTAATAGATATCCATATTCTATAAAATTTATTCCTTTAAAGTATACAGTTCAGTGGTTTTAGTATGTTCAGAGTTGTGCAACCATCACCACTACCTAATTTTAGAGCATATTCATCACCCAAAATAGACCCTGTGCTCATTAGCAGTCACTCTTCATTCCCTTTCCTGCCATAGGTCTTTGTGACAGGTACATTGGTATTACCATAAACAGTGAGGTTACCAACAATCAGTCCTATTCACACTTGAGAGTTAAACCTAAACTAGTTGCTAAAAGACCCCTTTGAAACTTGGGTCTGACCTGTATTCGGAGGAAGAGTCTTTTGTTTCTCCCTCTAGAACAGACACATGTGAATATTTTCCTCTGCAGATGCTGCTCCTAACGGTGACTCCCAGCCTCCTCCCTGTCTGACTGCTACAGTGCCAAGTCCCTCCAAACCCCGGGCGGCGGAGATGGTCCTACAGCGAATGCAGCAGTTCAAGAGAGCAGATCCCGCGCGTTTGAAACATGCTTCAGAAGGGTGCTCCCTCCAGCCTGCACTTGAGGAAAACGTTCCAAAGGACCCTCGAGGGGCGATAATGGTGGGGAATGGTATGACAGGAGTTTTCTGTCTTCCCAACAGGCGTAAGTTCTAACTCTGGAAGAAAGGGAGTAGGAAGAAACCAACCTTCATTGTGTTTCTGCTGAGGGTGGGCTCGCCTGGCTTTCTACCTTTGCCACTTCGTGTCGTCTAGTCAGAGAACAAAGGGTCTCTTGGGTCATTTCTCACTCAGTTTCTTTGACAAGGTACCTCTTCCTCTTGTTTTAATTTTTAATTTTTTTCATACTGAAAATATATTACAGCAAACTCTTTATATCCTCAGCCTAAATTTAACAATTATTAACCTTTTGCCATATATTTTTTATGTCTCTATAAATATACTAGAAGCCCGTTGCAGGAAGATTCCTGCAAGAATAGGGCTTCACTCCCGTCTCTGCCACTCCTACCCCGCCCTTCTCTGCCGCTCCTACCCCGCCCTTCTCTGCCGTTCCTACCCTGCCCATCTCTGCCGCTTCTCTCCCGCCCGTCTCCGCTATCTCGGCTCCGTTGCTTGGCTTCCTTCTACGGTGTCTTCAGTCTTTGCTCCCAGCCAGTATATGCAAATTAGCCGCCATCTTTGTTGGCAGTTAATTTGCATATTGCTCTGATTAGCCAATGGTGGGCGTAGCGAAGGTACAGTCAATTTGCATCTTTGCATATTATTAGATAGGATGTGCTTCTTCTGTACTATATGAAAGTAAGTTAAATACATCATGACACTTTACCCCGAGGTTCTCCTTTATAATCACAACTAGAGGCCCAGTGCACGAAATTCATGCATGAGTAGGGTTCCTAGGCCTGGCTGGCGATCAGGGCCGATCGGGGCCTTCCAGTTGCTGGCCGGGGCCTTCCTTCATTCTGCACTGCTCCCTGGTGGTCAGCGCATGTCATAGCGAGTGATCAAACTCCCGGTCTAACTCCCAAGGGGACATGTTGCATATTAGCCTTTTATATATATAGATACCATTGTCACACCTAATTTCCTAATATTGCCTGGTATCCAATTCCCCAGTTGTCCCAAGGATAGTTTTTGTAGCTGGTTTCCAGTGATTTGTTAGAACTATAAGTTCACACACTGCATATGGCTATAGCCAGTAGTCTGTTAAGGTCTGAACTCTAGAACAGTCCCTTTGTCTTGGTTTTGTTGTTGTTTAATCCTCACCCAAGGATATTTTTCCATTAATTTTCAGAGAGTGGAAGGGAGGGGGAGAGACAGAGAGAGAAACATCAATGAGAGAGGGGTACTCCCTATTGGTTGCCTCCTGCACATGCCCCACTAGGGCCAGGATCAAGCCTGCAACTGAGGTACATGCCCTTGACCAGAATTGAACCTACGGGCCAAAGGTCTAACCACTGAGCAAACCAGCTAGAGCTGGGTTTTTTAAATGATACTTTTTGAAGAGTCCAGGATAGTTGTCTTTTTAAATTTACTACTTTCTGGATTTGCTTGATTGTTTCTACATGATGTCATTTAACCCGTTCATGCAACCCCTCTGTTGCATTGCACCGAGTAAACTAGAGGTCTCATGGGCTCCAGGTTAAACAGTTTGGCAACAGCGCTTTGCAGGTGTTGTACCCTGCATATTATACCAACCAAGAAGCACATAATATCGGTGATTCCATTCTTTATCCCCTAAACAATATGAATCCTCATCTCTGATGAAAATATACAAAAGGATAATAAATAGGAAGAAACTGTACTGACAGACCTATGAGCTAAGGAGCATATAGTCTCTTGGTATTGCACTTGCAGATTTCACCTTAGAAACACTGATGATTCTCAGGCTACCCCAATGGTCCACACAGGTAGCAGGGTCACATCTGCCATGCATCAGTCCTTGAACACCCAAGGGGTGCAGAGGAGTTGCTCAGCCAGTGTGTGAACCCAGCACCTCCCCTACATGTGACTCAGTTGCTTCCATATATCTTCATATAATACCCAATAATGCTCAGGAGAGAGAAGCCACTGCTTTGCTAAATATATATATATATACACACATATATATACATATACATGTACATATACATGGCACCAAAATAAAGCATGATGCTTTTCTGGCTTTGGTGGGAAGAGTGATAGGCCATTAGTAGTAGTCCAGAATTGGGGATTTATGAAGTTTTCAGGGCCTATCCCTCATGAACACCGAGGGTTTGCTTCAGCAATATCAGATGTGATAGAGGGCTGCAGAGGTGGACACGGCGACCTTGGGAACGATCTCTAGGCATTTCACTCTGACCTGGTTCTCCCAGAATGGGCAACCAAAGTCATAGTAGTAGGAAAGGTTGAACTTTGAAGAGAAAACTTAGATTTGTTGGAATAGAAGCCCTATAAACCTGGCATGTCCAAAGCAGCTGACTTTAGCAGAAATGAGAAAAATGAAAGGAAAGTTCTTTAGGACCTGATACTCAGAGTGGTCCTGGACGACCAGTATCGGCCTCGCCTGGGGGTGGTTAGAAATGCAGGACCTTGGGCTCCGCCTGGACCTTTGTAATGTGAACCTTCATTTTAGCAAAGTTCCTGGGTGAGTTTTACACACATTAGAGTTTGAGAAGTCTTATTCTGGGAGCCCCGTTCAGTGCCCCATTTGACTGGATGGTGCCTGGTATGAGGCAGTCGTGTGGAGTCTCGTTTCTCCACGTTACACCCAGTGTCAGTGCTGTGAGACCTGACAGATGTGCCGAGGTCTGAGGATGAGCTCCTCCTCATGGGTCCTTGTCCTCTCCACAGGGTCTGGGCCCTGGCTTCCTGCCACAGAAAGCGACACTGCAGTGGCGTTGGCCCTGCAGCAGGAGTTGGGGCAGGAAGGAGCCACCGCACCTGGCGACAGTCTGGAGGAGAAGGGGTTGTTCTTCTGCCAGATCTGTCAAAAGAACCTCTCTGCTATGAACGTGACCCGAAGGGAGCAGCATGTGAACCGGTAAGAGCAGCTCAACTGTCACCTTTCCCGTGGGCGGGACCAGAGCCAGGGGCCCCTATGGCCTAGTGGGAATCAGATTCCTTCCTGTGACAGTAGCACTTCAGTGTTCGTGTCAACCTGCCCTTGCTTTTTATTTTTTAACAGCTTTGTTGAGATATAATCCACGTATCATACAATTCACCCATTTAGAGTGAATAATTAATTCAATGGCTTTCATTTAGTAATGTTCACAGTTAGGTAACCATTCTAATCAATTTTAGAATATTTTCATCACCCCAAAAAGAAAACTTGTACCCATTAGCACTTGCTCTCCATTGAACCCTCCCCGCCCCAGCCTCTGGAAACCACTAATCTTTCTGTCTATCAATTTGCCTATTCTGTGCAGAGTGGAATCAAATACTATGTGGCCTTGTGTGTCTGGATTCACTCAGCATTGTGTTTATAAGGTTCATCCATGTTGTAGTATGTGTCAGTGTTGTATTCTTTTTTTTTCATGGCTGAATGATATTCTACTGTATGGGGAGACTACATCTTGTTTATCTGCTCATCCATTGACATTTGGGTTGTTGCTACCGTTTAGACATTGCGGGTAGAGCTGCTATGAACATGCATTTCATGTGTTTGCTTAAGTATCTGTTTTCAGTTCTTTTGGGTGTATACTTAGGAGTGGAATTGCTGGATCGTATGGTGACTCTTAAGTTTATGTTTAATCTGTCCTTGCTTTCTTCGGTCACCTTTGCTAACAGACACCTAAATTCTGTGTCAGGAGGCTGACTACAGGCTGTGTGGAGGGACTGGCTTTGGGGGAACAAGGTTTGGCCCACAGCATGTTCATGTGGATGTGGATCCATGTTTGCTTCAATCCACATTACCAGGGAAGGTGGTTCTCCAGTGTTTACTGTCTTCCTTCAGGTGTTTGGATGAGGCTGAAAAGGCACTGAGACCTTGTGCACCTCAGGTCCCTGAATGCCCAATTTGTGGCAAGCCATTTCTCACCTCAAAGGGCAGAATCAGTCACTTGAAACAGTGTGCAGTGAAGATGGAGGTTGACACCCAGCTCCTGCTCCAGGCCGTGCGGCTGCAAACAGCTCAGCCTGAGGGGACCTGCAGCACACTAGCACAGACATCGAGGTGAGTCAAATGAAAAGGAAGAAAATCAAAGAAGTATTCTGCTTTGTTTTAAAAATAAAATAAAGCCTTATGTATTGTTGTGGGACAATAGATTCTGGAAATGAAACATAGGTGGAAATCACAGTTTCCACCGGAATTGAGTAGGGGACAAATTCTGCATCCCAGGTGGCTTTGAAATGGTCTGTGTGGGTGTGGGTGTGTCTGTGGACTGTTTTCCTTAAGGTCCTTCCTCCTGAGAGTTTTCTATTCCCAGGATCCTGCAGCCAGTGCCCTCTGGAGCAGATAAGAATTCAGTAATTCACTTTACTACATCTATTTCATGTGTAGAACAGCCTCGCTTCCATCTCAGTAGACTGATTTTCATACTATTAATATAAGATTGCTCAGCACAGTTCAAAGAGTTAGTGAGACAGAACCACAGGCCTTTAAAAATATTTGCATGAATTAAATGCTTAAATGTTAAAATAGGAGGCTCTGCTGATGACACAAGTCTTTAGTGTGCAAACCACAGGCACACAAGTGGCAGAGGGTCAGCTTTGCGCTGCATTACCCATCGCTATGGATGCCAGAGTAGACCCTAACCTTCTAGGGGGCACAGGCAGCATCGGCCCTGGACTGCTGTAGATTTAGGACGTCTTTCCTTGGACAGCTGTCAAGAGCAAAGGGAATCTAAGGGTGGTTTGTTTGTCCTGGCTACTGCCTTGCACACAGGTTTGGCCATGTGAGCTGGGTCAGTGCTGAGATGGGGAGGGCAGAGGCTGAGTCTTCACTGGTGAGCCTGTCTGCATTTTAGCACTCAGCACGAGCATCACAGACGTAAGAGCCTTAGGTGCAGCCTACCCAGTGGCCGGGCCCAGGTATGTTGGGCGGTTCCTTTTTCTCTTGGAGGCTGTGATTATCGTGCAGGGTTCCCAGATTATTAGAACTGAATTAGGGCTCGCTTAGATCTTCTAAGACAGTGGTTCTCAACCTTCTGGCCCTTTAAAACAGTTCCTCATGTTGTGACCCCCAACCATAAAATTATTTTCGTTGCTACTTCATAACTGTAATTTTGCTACTGTTGAGTCGTAATGTAAATATCTGATATACAGGATGGTCTTAGGCGACCGCTGTGAAAGGGTCGTTTGACCGCCAAAGGGGTCGCGACCCACAGGTTGAGAACTGCTGCTCTAAGATGATACCTGGGATTCTGGAACCATCGCTGGCCCAGCAGAGAGCACGAGCTTTTGTGAAAGCCAGAGGTGCTTCCAGAATGCACTTCAGCTATGGGAAGGTGATCTTGGGTTGTCCTTAGTTTCTTTCTCACCTTTACCCTCTGCCTCTTGCCCAGCCTGTTGGAAGCAGCGGGAAGTCTAGGTTCTCTTCAGCCAGAAAATCTTTCAGGAAATCTCTTCCGAACCAAATGAGTTACTGCACATTGGCCTCCAAGCCCAGTGACCAAGATGGCGGCCCAAGCTGAGAGGCCTTTTCTTCAGACCTTGGGCAGAGGCACTGCCCTGCAGCCCCTGCAGGAGAGAGGGGTCCTTTCATGGCCAATATATCCAGGACCACCTAAGGGGCATCTGAAGTATCAATGGGCAGAAGTTGGTGGGATCCAGGGTGCTGACTTGGAGCCATCGAGTGTTGACTCTACCAGAAGGGTATGACCACATCCAGGGGGTGCAGTACCGCTGCTGGTTGTATGTCCACCAAGAACCTGGCTGGGCAGGATCACACAGAAAGACCCAGACCCTCTGGAGTGTGGACTCTGCTGAACTTGTGGCGCAGGATCCTGTGAGCTTGCGTGAGGCACAGGATGGTCACAGTGAGCTCCGGGCACTTGATGCCCCTTTTCTCTTTGCCCCACAGAGGAGAAGGTCCAGCCCTCTTTGCTGCAGTGGGGACCACCTCAGAACAGGAAGTGCTCCCAGCCTCTGGCCATCACTGACCTTTCTGTTTGGCTGCCTTTTAAGCTTCAGCAATCACGTTGGAGGTCTGAAGCGGAAGGGAGCCCCCAACAAGAAGGAACCACAGAAGAGGCAGAAGGTCAATGAGCCTGAGGTGCTGTCTGAGGACCTGCTGGTGGCCATGGCTCTATCGCGGTCCGAGATGGAGCAGAAGGTTGCACCTGCAATGCTCCCGCTGGGAACTGCTTTTCCTGAGAGGACAAAACTGTCAGCAGGTATGTGTGCTCACGAGTGGTAGCTCCAGGGGGAGCCTTGCCGTACTGCCTCTGGCTGAAGTTCGCCACTGGGTTCAGGCTGTGTGGATGACTGTTATTGACTGTCACTTGTTTCTCTCTAGAGAAGAAGAGTCGAAAGAAGAAAGTACCCCTTACCCCACCGCAGTTGTTAGTCCAGGACTCGGAGACCACAGGAAGACAGATTGAGGATCGAGTGGCCCAGCTCTTTGCAGAGGAAGAAGTAGAATTGTCCAGCACGCCACCACTTCCTGCGAGCAGACTTTTAAAGGAAGAGCTGGAAAAGGCCAGCAGGAGTCTACAACCACCTGAAGGGAAGCGGAACTTTCTGTGGGGAGGGGCAGCGCCCTGACCAGAGCCTGGGCTCTGGAGTCCTTCTATCCGGCAAGCCTGGTGCCTCCCATGGTGCCCCAGCCGTCCACCAAGGTGCGCCCTCCCCTCCGAATACATGCAGGGGCGGGGGGGGGGGGCGGGGGGGCCTCTGAGGAGTTGGGAGCTCCAGGATTATGACACTGGGAATCAACAGCTAGGGAACAGACAGTTCTAGGAGGGGAGGGGTGGGAGGAAGCCTAGAGGTGTCAGCCATAGCGTTGTTTCTCTTTGCAGCCACTAGATGGCTTTCCTAGTAAGAATGGGGAGGACCACTGGTTCCCAAATGTATTCTGTTCCTGGAGAGTTTGTTTAAAATGCAGAGTCCCAGGCTCTGCCCCCGGGGGGCTGACAGAATCTACCTGTGATGGGGCCCAGGAACCAGACAAGCCTGATGCAGGTGGTCCCAGAGTCTGTACTCACTCGCTTGAGACCATTTAGGTGACATTAGGAAGATGGAGGCCCCCAGGGATCTTTCTGCAGATGTGATACCACAGGCATGGACTTCGCTGTGACAGAAAGGCCTGCTGACAGATGGTGATGAAGAAAAGCTTTCCAGGGTTGTGCTGGGCTATGGCTGGCACCCTCACGTCTGGGTGGCGGCTGTTACGGCAGTCTTGTGGTCACTCTGGCTTCCAATTTCTTTCACGGTCTCACATAGGAGCCCACGCTGCCACCAGTGTTGTCTAAACAGCCACAGCTGGGCGTGCGCATGCCACCTGCCCTCCACAGTGCCAGTCCCAGGAATCTGTCACCCTCCGCCAGCCAAAGGGAGTACCAGGCTCTGCAGGACCTCATGGACTTGGCAAGAGAGGGGCTGAGTGCCAGCCCATTGCCCTGCAGCGGGGGTTCTGCTGACTCAAGGGGGACCACAGGTGAGACACAGGATGGGACACCTGGGCCAGCCCCACCCTGTGGGCCCTCTCCTCCCTGTGACCAAGACCATGAAGGCAGCTCATTTTTGAGGTTCCCTGGCTCATCCCCATATAATGGGGAGAAAGTGCAGTCTGTAGGTGTTTTCATTTTGTTCTCAAAGGTGAATGTGAGACAGGTAAGTCTATTGCCATTTCCTTAAATTTAACCAAGGACAGAGCCGTTTATCCAGAGCGAGTGACTGGTGGGCTAATTCTGTTTATTTTACTGCTTGTGCCCCTCTCTGTTGGAAGGGGGTAGTGATAAGAGTGGTTTGTGGGCTTCACTGTCGTTGAAGAAGTCCGACTGAAGAATTTCCCAGGCGCCTTTGGGGTCAGCTCAGCCCACAGTTGATGCTCTTTCCCTGAGGGCTGACGTTGCCAGGAGGTGATGTTCTTTTAACCTGTGAATCCTTCTTTCAGGGATGGATCCATTGCCCGGTGGCCTTCCACTGACTGGGTTTGTCCTGCCACCCGAGGAGCAGCGCCTGGAAATGGGCAGCCAGGCTTCGGTAAGGAACTTTCTGTGGGCCTGGCCCTGTCCCAGCTTCAAGCCTTTGTACGAGTCCCTTGGTGCCCTTGACAGTATTTGAGCTGAGCCAGGCAAGAGCCCACAGGAGCCTCCTGTCCCCCTGTCGGGGCTCCACCATGAGGCTTTGTCCCTTTTGTCACTGAACTTATGGGGCAGCTCATTTGCCAAGCCTGGAGCCTGCTTGACTGGGAGCCCAGAGGGACCACCATTACTCTGTGAGATCCCCTCATTCAACCGACTGCTCTGTGCATTTGTTTCTCAACGTGTCATTCATTCATTCATTCATTCATTCATTCATTCAGGACTCACTATGCCCCTCCAACATGCTGGTCCTGGGCTGGCCTCCCCCTAAGAGTTCATGCTCTCAGGTGATGAATTGGTGAGAAGTTAGTTTTCCTTAGAGTGGATGTTACCTGATCAGTATATCAGTATCACACTAAGTTCTGGTGACCATGGCACATAGAGGAGGGACTTGGAGCTCCTCTCAGCTGGGTCCCTGAACCATGTGGACAAGGGGCCTGTCTGCTACACCGGGCTGGTAAGTTTCTTTATAGGGCCACACAGCAGAGTTTGTGAAACACTAGGCCTAGCGCGCACAGCCCCCAGCAGCCACCACTGCTGCAGCTTCATCTTTATTAGCATAGCCACGCCTCTCCACTTGCTGGTCCCTCCCATTTTAGGCCAGGCAACTCAGTGTGATAGAGAATTTGAGAAGTTAGTGTTTTGTTGTTCTGTGTCACTTGAGTGACTTAAGGTAACTTAAAGGTGGAACCTAATGTAGGAACCCTACTGAGAGGAGTGCAAGGGTCCGCCTGCCCACTCTACACCATCCCAGTTGGGCAACTTGCACAGGTAGAGAGGCAAGTGACAGATGGAAGTGACGGCTCTCCTCCTGTTTCAGCTCTCTGTCGGTTTGCTGGTTGCTGACTTCAGTGCCATGGTAAATAACCCACACCTGAGTGATGTCCAGTTTCAGATGGACAACGGGGAAGTGCTGTATGCCCACAAGTTCGTGCTTTATGCCCGATGCCCACTTCTCATTCAGTATGTAAGTACGTGATGAACAAGCTGCGCCTCCATGCAGCTCCTGCCATCCCCCTTGAGCCTCTGTCTTTCTCCGTTGACCTCCCACTCCCCCCGTTTCCCTCCCTCTCCTCGCCTCTCTGCCCCTCTTTTCCTCATCACTCTTTGCTCAGTCTGTCTTCCTATCCTCCTGAGCTAACTCATTTCTGCTCTCACCCCTCTCCCTCCCTGCTCTCCCCCCTCTGCCCTAAACGTTTTTTTCCTCTTTGTTGCCATAAGGTTACACTTCCATGGAGAAGACATGTTTGAGGTTAGGAAGTGGTCCGAGGAAATGACCTCAGGATTGGGAAACAGATTTCTTGTCCCATTCAATAAAAATCCTCTCCTCCTCCCTCGGAATTGTTTTTCCCCCTCTATTTGCATAATTATGAAGACTTATAATTGACCTCTATAAAGTTGAGCTGCTGACAGACATTTCTGTGTTGACTTATGTTAGACTTGGATATTGTGAGGTTGGAATCCAAGAAACTGCTGTTGGTCTCTCAGAAAGTTCTAGTGCCTTTGATATGTCTGTCAAGAGGGAGCCAACTGGATTCTTGAGCGCCTATCCCTGATTTGATTTTGAAACAGAGAAGTTTTACAGCTTAAACTGCAGAACTTCTGGTCAACAAAATGGAGTGACACTGGCTAGTGCTCATCCCCGGACTAAGGCTATAAGAGTAGAGACTCACAGGACCCACCCAAGACCATCTGCTTCGTCCCAAGTCATGACCTTCCAGTCCGTAAACCTTTATACTTAATTTCACCCTCAGGTAAACAGTGAAGGATTCTTCGCTGTAGAAGATGGCGACCTAAGAACCCAGCGTGTCCTGCTGAGTGATGTGAGCACGGAGGCTGCCCGCGCGTTCCTGCATTATCTCTACACTGCAGACACTGGCCTGCCTCCCCAGCTGACCCCTGACCTCAGTTCTCTGGCCTGCAGGTCCGCATTGTTCTTTCCATTTACTTCATGGCTTTTGACATTAACTGACAAGGATTATCAGGTTGATGGCTCATGGGAGGATCAGGGCTGAGTCCTTTCTAACATTTTTAATCACAAGTTTATGCCCAGTGGTGACTTTGAACAAGGCGTGTTGATAGGAAGTCTGGAAAGAAACGGACCCTTGCAGCAGAGCCGAGGCTGCTTGAAGAGTCCTCTGCTAGTCATGTGGCTTTTAGCTACCGAGGCGTGATGAGAGGGTGTCCTCGGCCTCAGTTCTTCCCAAACACTGCTGCTCCTTGATTGTCCACCACTAAGATCAATCAACAGCAGTCCTTTCCCAAGTCCCAGAAAGTAGAAAATGGACAGAAGGTTTATTCCAACTCCCATGAATTTGCACCTACCCAGCTTGTCCACACCAGTGTCTCAGGAGAGGTGGCAAGTTGTTCAGCATAAAAGGTGTTCTACCTCCTGACAAGGTGTGAGGGCCTCTGGGATAAAACGTGTTCATCCAGGGCCATGTCATCCCTCCGATGCTTTCTTAGGAAAGCAGTGGCTCAGCCTCCAGGGTTTTAAATGTACTGATGAGACCACAGAACCTTCAAGCAGATGGGAGGCTGGCGCACTCATTGGCCTGGGCTGACCCGTGACAGGTTTAGTCTGCTTTCAGTTTGCATCAGTCACGGTGCTTTGGGTGCCTTTCAAGGCAGCATGTGCTCCCCAGTTTTGCAGCAGCACCAGCTGCTATTCAGCTCAGCCTGATGTGCCCCTTTACATTTGCACAATGGAGTTAGTGAGCCCTGCCTGAAAGTCTCATGAGTCTCTGTTTTGAGAACTGAGTGGCCTGGGGTGTTGCACATGCACCCTAGTCACAGGAGAGCAGGGAGAAGGCCAGGACTGAGTCATGATTGTCCTCCCTGTGAGGACTTCTTCTCCAATCCTTGCCTGTGCCGGGAGCACCAGGCGGCAGTCTCTGTGTAGGATGGTGACGATGCATGGCGTTTCCTATTGCAGGTTCGGTGTGAGTGAGCTTGTTCACCTGTGCAAACAAGCATCTGTCGTGATGGATTCAGAGGGCAGCCAGGAGGAGAAGGAAGATGAGGATTGTGAAAGCAGAGCGGAGAATTTCCAAGAACTCTTGAGGTCAATGTGGGTGGGTGAAGAGGAGGAAGCAGAAGCCTTGTTGAAATCCGAGAGCCTTGAAGAAGATAGAGAAAAGGTCAATGAAGCAGAAATGGAAGAAATTTATGAATTTGCTGCTACTCAGAGAAAGCTCCTCCAGGGGGAAAGAGCTCCAGAGATCAAAGAAGAAACTAACCAGTTTGGGGAGGACAGTCCAGGTTCTAGGCGAATCCTAGCAAGCGTCCAGGTTAAAGAACAGTCAGAAAATACAGAACAGATGGAACCGTCTGGGCAGGGAAGAGATGAGTGCATCGCCAAAAGAAAAAATGAGAGACAGTCCATGTTCCTGCCACTCGAGGGCCAGTGTTCAGATGGAGAGGAGGAAGCAGAGGCCCCAAAGGCAGCCCTGGATCACACCAGCTCCTCTCGCCCCTCTCAGGGCCACTGGGTAGAGGAAAGGGAAGGACGCTTCATGCACTCAGTTGATGATGATGATGAACAGCCCTTTTCATCAACTCCAGGAGGGTACCCTGAACCATCCCAAATAACAAGTGATCACAAGAGAGGCAATGGCACTATCAAACAAAGGCGGGGACAGAGCTCTCATCGCTCTACTCGCCGGCAGGCACCTCCATCACAGCCATGCTTCTTCCCATCGCAGCCCCTTCCGGGCAGGAGTCCACGCCAACCACACCCTCACCCTCATCGCAAAAATGACATGTCCCCACCGACGCCCCAATCTCAGGGCAGAGCTTCCAGGGTGGCCTCCCAGGACACACCATCGAAGCAGAAGAGGGGCCGGAGCCTCCTCACGCTGTTTAACCATCCAGACTGCCAGAAAGGCGAAGAACGTGGTTCTGTGTTGGAATGCAGAAATAAAGGGGCCCTGACCTCACCAGAAAAGTCTCCATCCATTGACCTAACTCAGGCAAAACCTGGCCAGCAGACCTCCATATCTCAGCATTCTCCCTCCAGCGTGAACAGAGAAGATGAGGTTATCCTTTTACTGGATTCAGATGAGGAGTTAGAGCTAGAACAAACCAAAAAGTCAGTTTTTAATGGTTCCCTGGAAGAAGGGAAAGTTTTAGAAGTTTGCCCCAAGTTCTCTGACCTGTTCTCCGTCATTGATGTTGATGCAGATCAGGAACCTTCCCAAAGCCCACCAAAGAGAGAGGCCCCAGTGCAGCAGGAGGAGGGGCGGCCGTCAAGGAACCTGGGCTATGTGGGTGGCAGAGGGTCCCCCCCACTGTTCTGTAACCGCGAGAGCAGCCCGGACGAGGACAGCACCACAGAAACCTCGTGGCTGGTACCTGCCACCCCACTCGGCAGCAGAAGCCGAGAACACTCATCACAGACCCAAATCATGGGTCTCGGGTCCAGGACTTCAGCATATGAAATGGCTCAGCTCCAGCCCAGGGCCCCATTAGAAAACAGGGATGGACCCAAAGCCTCTAGTAAGTTTTCAGCAATTGTGCACCAGACATCGTCATCCTGCCCGGTCCCTGTCAATCACAGAAGCCCTTCCAGCCCCAGCCCCAGGCGCCACAAGCACTTTTCTGTGCTGGCTCCCTGTCCAGCCTCAGGAGGCCTCACTGATTTCAGTGGGCAGTTCCAGAAGCGCTCGCTGCCCAGGCCGAGCCTGCCAAATCAGGCCGCAGTGAGCGAAGTGGTGGAGGTGGAGGACAGTGACGATGAGCAGGAGGTAGCCTCCCATCAGGCGAGCAGCAGCCCCCTGTTGGACAGCGGTCCCCCCATTCCAACTGACGACTGCTGTTGGCATGTCGAGCCCCTCTCGCCAATTCCGATTGATAATTTGAACCTTGAGCGGACTGGCCCCCTGAGCACCAGTAGCCCAGGCAGCAGGGCCAGGGAAGCCCCGGACAGTGGTGACTGCCACTCCCCAGCACTCCTGAGTACCACCCCCATCCGAGGAAGCTGCACTGGCCAAAGGAAGTCTCAAGAGAAATCCCCTCAGGCCAGCTCCCCTGGGAGCAACAGGCTGAGCTTCTTGAATTCAGCTCTCTGGGACGATTGGGATGGAGAAGAACAGAAGTCTCCAGAGGCCCTTTCTCTGACCCAGACACCGCGTGCTGATCGAGCTCAGAAATCAGAAGGGTTAGAAAAGCCAAGTGAGTAGTGGGGACAGTTGTTTATGTTTTACATTCTTTTACACTGAGGGCCCTGGAGGAAATCAATAATGACAACATGGGGTGGCGATGCTGAAGGGCCTGCTGACCTGTGACAAGCCCCTTCCTTGCCTTCTAGAATCCTCTCCGTAGTTGGGAGAACAGGCTTGCTATCAAACACACACTTCTTAACCAGTAAGTCAGAGCTTTCTAACCTTGCTTGGACCCTACAGCTCACCTGGGCACTTGTTAAAAATCCCTGCCTATGGACCCCACTCCAGAATACCGAGCCAGCACCTCTGAGAGGCCCAAGTGTCGGGTAGGCCTTAAGACTGGGCAAGTGCAGTTCCTCACAAAATTAAACACAGAATTGCCATTGTGACCCAGCAGTTCCACTCTGACGAATATATCCAAAAGAATTAAAATCCAGGACTCAAGCAGATCCTTGTACACAAATGTTCACAGCAGCTCTATTCACAATAGCTAAAAGGTGGAGCCCTAGCCAGTTTGGCTCAGTGGATAGAGCATCGGCCTATGGACCAAAGGGTCCCAGTTCATTTCCAGTCAAGGGCACATACCTTGGTTGCAGGTTCCTCCCCGCCCCGGGCCCTGGTCAGGGTTTGTGTAGGTGGCAGCCTCTTGATGTGTTTCTTTCACATTGATGTTTCTGTCTTTCCTTTTCTCTTCCACTCTCCCTAAAAATCAATGGAAAGATATCCTCAGGTGAGGATTAACAAAAATAAATAAATAAATAAATAAATAGGTGGAAACAACCCAAGTCCCTCAACCTATTGAATAGGTATATAAAATATGGCCTGTCCAAATAATGGAATATTATTCAGCCATAAAAAGTAATGAAGTACTGACACATGCTACAACATGGATGAACCTTAAAACATGTTAAATGAAAGAAGCCAGTCACAAAAGACCACATATTGTATGATTCCATTTATTTTTTTTTAAATATATTTTATTGATTTTTTACAGAGAGGAAGGGAGAGGGATAGAGAGTTAGAAACATCTATGAGAGAGAAACATCGATCAGCTGCCTCCTGCGCACTCCCCACTGGGGATGTTCCCACAACCAAGGTACATGCCCTTGACTGGAATTGAACCTAGGACCCTTGAGTCTGCAGGCCGACGCTCTGTCCGCTGAGCCAAACCAGTTAGGGCTGTATGATTCCATTTATATGAAATAACCAGAATAGTCGAATCCATAGAGATAGAAAGTGGATTATTGGTTGCCAGGAGCAGAAGGGAGAATGGAGGTGGGGGGTGACTGCTTTCGGCTACAGAATTTCCTCTGGGGGGATTAAAGCATTTTGCAACTAGACAGAGGTGGTGGTTGCACAACACTGAATACACCAAATGCCACTGAATTACTTTAAAATGTTATTATGTGAATTTCATCTCAATTAACACTACGGTGTCGGGTGAATTTCCCGCCAAAATATAAGATGGCGCGGGCAATTATTTAGGTTTCCCGCGCAAAATCAGAGTTAGTTTAAAATGCCTATATCTTTTGAAGTATGGGTTCGATTGAAATGAAATTTTCGGTTTCTTGTGTAAAAAATGAAAATTTATTCAATCACAGACATTTTTTTATCTATTCAGTACATAAATAATTCGATATATATAAACTAAATACGAAAAACCCAAAAAATACTTATTACCTAAAAATATACACATATTTTTAAAGTTTAAAATAAAATTTTCATAATAAATCAAAACAAATAGAAATTAATAGTTTTTTAGCGTATGATATTTTTCAAAACACGCCCCTTTATGTAGAGGTATATTGCAAAATTTGCACATGTAGCGTGTCTCACTGCGCAATTTATGAACGGAACATACGCGACACCTTCTCAAAATGTTTTTCTTTTTTCCACTTCCGACAATTGCCTGTAACGTATGCTTTCTCATGTCCATCGATAGCCTGCATGGTGTTCTCTACTTACAAGGGATTTTTATGATACCTATTACCCCAATGGGTATGAAACGGTTCGCATACGCAGGTAGGTATCTTTGTGAACGGCAAACAAATATTTGGTAATACGCAGTTACAATCGGCCCGAGTTTACACGTTTCCCGCACTCCACCGCAAATCTATATGAACCGAGTTAAGACGGCTCCCGCGGAGTACGCGCAATTCACGCGAGCCGACTTAACTCGTTTCCCGCAATCCAAGTGTTAAAAACAACAGATGGGGCTGTGAGAGGCCTGTTATGGGCCTCAGTGGAGGATGCCACTTCGAAGCTCATTTCAGTCATAGAGGAGAGCCAAAGCACCCAGCGTAGGCCGCTCAAGGTGCTGCTCCTTCCCCAGCCGGGAAGATCCAGGGAGAGCAGGAAGGGCAGGGTGGCTAGTAACAGGGAAGCAGAGCTTATGGACAGAGCATCTGCCTTGAACCCGATGTTTCATTTCCTCTTTAAAAATCCTAGACCATGCCAAAACCGGTTTGGCTCAGTGGATAGAGCGTCGGCCTGCGGACTGAAGGGTCCCAGGTTCGATTCCGGTCAAGGGCATGTACCTGGGTTGCGGACACATCCCCAGTGGGAGATGTGCAGGAGGCAGTTGATCGATGTTTCTCTCTCATCGATGTTTCTAACTCTCTATCCCTCTCCCTTCCTCTCTGTAAAGAATCAATAAAATATATTTAAAAAAAAAAAATCCTAGACCAATTGGGCATCGTTGACCAGCACTGTCAGCCTTGAGTGGGCGTCTGAATTCCCTGGGGAACTTCAAGAACAAGTGGCCAGCCCCACCCCAGAGTTTCCGCTTCGGGAGGTCTGGGGTACGACCAAGAATTTGCATTTCTAACCAGTTCCCAGGTGATGCCATGAGAACAGCTATAGTACACTTTAGACTAGGGGCCTTAATCTGAATTTGAGGTGACAAACTCTCCAAAATTATATATTAAAATGTGCATTTTTTTAGGAGAAAGCCTGTTGAGTTTATGGGAGCCTCAGAGGGCTCCATGCTCGTAAAAAGGATAAGAATCAAAGTCCATTTTCCCCTAATTGTCACATTTATCTTTTAAATACCCATTTCTTTTTTAAAATAACAGCTTTATAGAGACATTTTCACATACCATAAAATTCACCCTTTAAAATGTACCATTCAGTGGTTTTTAGTATGTTCACTAATCCCAGAACATTTTTTTAGAATATATTTTTTTATTGATTTCAGAGAGGAAGGGAAAGGAAGAGAAAGAGAGAAACACCAATGATTAGAGAGAATCATTGATTAGCTGCCTCCTGCATGCCCCACACTAGGGATCAAGCCATAACTCAGGCATGTACCCTGACCAGAAATCTAACCATGACCTTCTGGTTCATAAGTTGATGCTCAACCACTGAGCCAAAGAACATTTTTATCACCCCAGAAATAAACCCTGTACTTATAGCAGACACTGCCATTGCCCTGTCACGCCAGCCTGTGGCAACCACTCGTATGCTTCTGCCCCATTCACTCAGCATCAGCATTGCACAAGGGCGCCATGGCCCTTATCATGTGCCGGGTGATGCTTTCTAACAGGAAGACATGATGCCAGAGTCACATTGTGAGGGGGTGGACATAACTGCTCTTACAGAGCAAATGGACTGGGCTTTCTTCAAGTACATCTTTCTCTTGGTTACATCAATAGGGTCAGAAAAGGTAAACCCAGGTCCCTCCTACTAAAACATGTGTTTCTTTTGTTCTTTTTTTTTTCTTTTTGGACTGTGCCTTATTTTATTTATTTATTTATTTATTTATTTATTTATTTATTTATTTTATGGAAGGTGCTAATCGGAGGAAGAACTTGCCCCCAAAAGTGCCCATAACGCCAATGCCACGGTATTCCATCATGGAGACCCCAGTACTAAAGAAGGAACTGGACAGGTTGGTAGTGTTTTGAAAGCTTGCTCATTAGTGGCCCCTCCTTCCTGCAAGTGACCAGGCCTAGCGAGGTTGTGAGATGTAGGACCCATCACCAGATCCACCCTGGGCTCTGGTGTGGCGGCCGCTGTGTGTGTGGGGCGGGCAGCTGGGGGGAGGGCGTGTGTGCCTACCAGCTCTCCACATGCTGTTCCCCAAGGACCCAGGCCCTAAGAAGCTAAGACATGAGGCTCCTCCAGGTTACCCATCAGGTGACAAGTCTCCGTATGTCGTGTGGGTGGAGCTGGGACTCTGGCCTTAACAGTCTGAGTAAGGAGACATGATTTTTTAAAAGAACATCAAAACCATCCTGCCGTGTGAATGCTGCTCTTCACATTGGGTCCAGGGAAGTCATCGCCACCACCATTGTTCAGCGCATGGGGATGGCCCATTTGGAATATTCTTCAGAGTAAGCTCAACTGGCACACAGGGTAGACACTAACCTCTGAATGCTCATAAAAGTCAGGCATTTAAGATTTCAGTTGCACCATGAAATTATTTGTTGAAATTGTTTGCTCTTTGCTGAAGTTCAACTGTTTCTCCATTCAGGTTTGGGGTACGCCCTCTGCCCAAACGCCAGATGGTCCTAAAACTGAAGGAAATATTCCAGTACACTCACCAAACGCTGGAGTCAGACTCCGAGGACGAGAGCCAATCCTCACAGGCACCCCTAGAGGCTCCTCGCAGCCAGACCCATGCCACCAAGACCTCCAAAGCTTCAAGGGCAGCTGGCCATGCCAGGCTGCAGGCCACATCTGACCCTATTTCCCGAAGGCCCAAGGGACCAGCTAAGACCAAGGGTCCCCGACATCGGAAGCAGCCTGGTGGAAGTATCCCCGGCATGTCACCAGCCAAAGAGGTGCCTCTAGGCCCTGATGGTGACGCCCAGCTCCCGGCCTCCCAGGAATCCACAGCCACCTCCGTGGACAGCAGTGACAGCTCATTCAGCTCACAGAGGTAAGCAGGTCAAAGGACAGGGCCAGTGGCTTCCTAGGTCCTTTGACCAGTGGGTCTGAGCATTGGCACAAGTGATGCCTAATGGCGGATGTTCAGAAGCCCCAGTGCCTTCTGGGTTTGAACTACAGAAAATCCAGGTGGGTTTCAAAGGCAGTCCCCTGAGCAGTCCTTTGAAGCTCCCACATCCTCAACCCGCAGTGTGCTCCCTGGAGTGGGGCCAGCCCAGCATGCCTTCTTGTTGGGGGCCTGCTGCCATCGATGGAAGTTTCTGGTGGAGGACAAGATCCTGCTCAGGCCAGCAGCTAGAGTGCCAGGGACCCAGCACGGGGGGTTCATCCATGCCATGCACCACCTCCACAGGGGACAGAGAAATACTTCTTTCTTCAAATAGGCTCCTGGTCCTGGGGGACTGACGGGAAGGGGTGCCGCAAAATAGTAATACCTGGTTCTTTTCAGTTCTTCCTGTGAGTTTGGAGCAGCCTTTGAGTCTGCAGGAGAAGAGGAGGAGGGTGAGGAGGGGGTCAGTGCTTCACAGGCGGCTGTCCAGGCAGTGGCCACGGAAGAGGCAGTGAGGCGCTACATCCGCTCCACACCAGCACTCTACCGCAAGGTCCTGCTGTACCAGCCCTTTGAGCTGGCGGAGCTGCAGGCGGAGCTGAAGCAGCAGGGCATCCGCATGGCCACGAGGAAGCTGCTGGATTTCCTGGACGCCCACTGTATCACCTTCACCACCGCTACGGCCCGGAAGGAAAAGTTCGAGAGGAAGAGGCGGCAGCCCCCGGGCAAGAAAAAAAGAGGCAGAACTGACGGTCCTGTCCGCCGCTCCCCACCCATGCCCGTCAGCAGCCTGTGAGGGACTGCGGCCCCTTCAGCCAGCCAGGCCTCCACAAACAGTTCTGGGCCTTGGGACCATATCTGATCCCTCTGTGAAAATGATGACCAACGTGGATCAGCTTCCTTTCCACTCGTTTCCTGGGGTGGTATTCGGAGCGTGTCACCCACTGGATTTAGGGCCCCTGGCCTCCTCCCTCTATCAGTGCCCACTATTTATCTCCCTTTAACCCTGTTGGGCCAGTGTGTGTTTCAGAAGGGCCTCTGCCAGCTGGCCAGGTTGAGGCCTGACTCGGCACATCTTTTGCTCTCTACACCATCAGCTGCAGTATGTCCATTCCTGAGATGGATACCCAAGTCCAGTCTGCCCTGTCCATCTTCCTTCTCAGCACTGGTTCTGTAATCCCAGCCTCCACCAGCAGACCAGGTGTCCACAGGCCTCCCACCCTGCCATGCCCAGGTACTCTGCCGGCCCAACCATTCTGCCCAGACACCTGTATTGTCACCAGCACTCTCCAAACCGGCCGGTGCAGAAGGGCCCAGCCCAGCTCCGAAGTCCCCAGAACAAGCATGTTCTTTGTGACCTGGGTCGGTTGGTGTGTGTTAAAGCTGCCTCCAGCCTCAGGAGCCGTGAGGCACAGGTAAGGCCTGGAAAAGAAGAGTTTGGGTCTCTGTATCCTTGTGAACGTCTTGTCTGTTTTACATACAGTGTAGTCCATTTTATATGATGTGCAATAAAAACAAAATGCTTTATGAAAACCTAACTTCTCCACTCTAGAAAAATGAAACTGCCATGAGCATCACCCACAGCTCCCTGCTGTCCCCGAAGCATGTCTGCAGAAGGCCTTGGAGCCTGTTCTGTATCTCAAGGGGTAACCCAGGCCTTCTGGCCCCTCATTTCGCTTCAGTTCTTAGATAATAAATGTTCATTCATCCACACAACTGTCTGTCCATACAACCACATTAAGGGCCATTACCAGGTGCTGAGCTCCAGCCTTGATGCTCAAAGGAGGCCCAAGCTCAGTAGCCTCACCTGGACTTTGTCACAGATACAGGTTAAGGCCGCCAGACCCACTGAGTCAGAATCTACATCTTAATTGGATGAGCTTGTGAGGCCTGCTCTTGCCTGGTGCAGGGTCCTGGGAGGGAGGGGAACAAGGGAGGAGACAGACGCGCCTGTCCTATTCCCGGCATGAGCGTCAGTGCTCAGGTGGCCTGAAGGGACAGCTTCCTAGAGGGGGGTTTGTGAGCTGGGTCTCAGACATGGAGCATTCAGGGAAGTGAAACGGGGTTCCTTGAACACACATTGTGTCCTGGTTTGTGACCAGGTGGAGAGAACAAAGGCAGGCGATTAGAGGGACACCCGGGCTCAGGTCATACAGCTACTGGCAGATGCTGCTTTGATCAGACTCAAGATGGAGTCTGGCCTGTTTTAGAAGGAGCCACCTGTTTCTTACATGAAGAGCCGGACCTCTCTCCCCTATATAGACTGTTTCAGAGACGTGAGATGGAGTTAGGAAGGTAGGAGGCGACGCGATCCTTACTCAGCTTCACTGCTTCGTGACGACCGTGGACCTGGAGGTGCAGCTTTGGGTGAGCTCCCCTGAGAGAGAGGCCAGGGAGCCCTCACTCCTGGGAAGGCATCCCAGACTCAGAGCGTTACCAACTCCAGGTTGATAAGGGGATGTCGGGGGAGAGATTAAAAGAGGTAAAACGCCCGAGGCCTTGTGACCCAATACCCTGGTCAGTTGGGTTTGTGTGGTGTGCCCCCCAGAAGCCAGCAGGGGTCAGGAGCTTGAACCTTTGTGCAAAACAGAAACGGGGTTAAAAACCAGCTACTGTAATACAGAAACCTCCACAACCAGAGAACAATCGGCGGCATCCAGGGAAAGAGCCTTGACCTTTCCATAGAAATCAGACCGACTCAGGCCCAGGGAAATCGGGGCCAGCCGGTTTGGAAGGGGAAGCAGTGGCGACAGCTGCCCTCTCCCAGCGCCTGCAGCAGGGCCGGAGGAGCCAGACCAGCGATGGGCCTCGTGGTGGACGGTGGTGCAGGGGTTCCCTTCAGAAGCTCTGCCCTGCCGTGAAGAAAGCATACTGAGCCTGGAGCAGAACGTTCACTCCCCTGAAACTGCGACACCCACACTTCGCTGTGACGTGACCATCTCCTGGGCCCGTCCCACTTCCTGTGGCCCAGCCACGGCCAGGGCACCATCACGCAAGGCAATTAGAACCACCAGGGTGGGAAGAGATCAACCAAAGAACTTGTACATATACATACATGCGTGACCCATGGACACAGACAACAGGGTGGTGAAGGCTTAGGGCAGGGGATGGGGGTGGAGGCAGGTTAGAAGTGGTCAGTGGGGGAGGGGAGAAGGGTACATATATAATACTTTGAACAATAAAGTTTTTTTCAAAAGAATCATAACATAAAAAATAAGTAAAGAGAACCACCAGCCCAGCCAGTGCGGCTTAGTGGTTGAGCATCAACCCATGAACCAAGAAGTCCCCGGTTCGATTCCTACGGGCTCAGTCTCCCATGGGGGGCATGCAGGAGGCAGCCTATCGATATCTCTTTCTCATAAATGTTTCTATCCATCCCTCTCCCTTCCTCTTTAAAATCAATAAAAACATTTTTAAAAAAGAGAGCCCCAGCCAGTTTTCTCAACGGTTAGAGCGTTGGCCTGCGCACTGAAGGGTCAGGAGTTCCATTCCCTCCGGGTCAGGGGCATGTATCTAGGTTGCAGGTTTGCTCCCTGCCCCTGGTGGGGGTGGGTGCGGGAGTCAATGTGTGATGTGTCTCTCACATTGATGTTTCTCTTTCCCTCCCCTCCATTCTCTCTGAAAAAGCAATGGAACAGATATCCTCGGGTGAGAATTAACAAAAAAATTAAAAAGAGAACCACCACCCAGCTCTAGCAGGGCCCAGGCGAGAGGGCCCCAGGGACCTGCACAACCCCAGCAAGGCCCCACCCTTACAGGCAGGAAGTCTCAAGCCTTCGCTGAGTTGGGAAGGGCCCAGGCTACTGCCTGTCGGCTAACCACAGCTCTGGGTGGACAGAAAGCCCCAGAGTGAGAACAACCAGGGAGACTCTGTCCCACACACACAAGCACCTCACGAGTCAGGAGAAAGCCCCCCCAGCTCCTCACAGAGGAGCCGGCAGGGGGAGCCCAGGGACCAGCCCTGTCTGGTGGAAGGAGGTGGAGAGGAAAGGTGTTGGCAGGGAAGTGCTGACTTCTGGAGGCTCCCTGGGATCCCCGCGGAAGAGGCTGTCTCCTCCCCTGCTCAGGTCCCATCCACTCTGAGCTGTGAAAGGAGGAACAGAGGGTGCACCCTCTTGGCCTCTTTTAGGTGACAGATACCTCCAGGCCCCTGCGGTTTCCAACATCCTGTGGGCGGCCTGGTTTCAGCCGCCTTCACTGCACCTTGAGGCTGAGTCTGCAGCCGCCAGTCTGTGCCCTGCCTGCCTGGAGCCTCAGCAGGCTTCCTTCCCCAGGGCAGCCCTGTGTGTCCCTCAGCCCCTGGCAAGTTTCTGGGTGTTCAGAAAGCACCGATGGGAGGGAGGGGGTACAGAAGGGTGCCATCGTAAGGAGCACTTCTAATCTTCTGCCTCTGGGTCCTCCCTCACTTGGCTCCCACCTGTCACCGGCTTCTCCCAGTGGCTTGCTCCCTGTCACTGGAGGATGCCCTGTGCCTTTCCTCCATTGTAACTTTTCTTGTGTTTTTCACTCTGGACCATGTCCTTCCCCCTCAGGCCCACCTGTCAATCAGGACAGCCCACGTGCTGAGGTCCACTCCAGGCGTCTGAGTGAACTGCCACATTCTGCTGTTTCAGGGTGGAGGTGACCTGCCTTGACTCGTTAGGAAGACATTGTGGGGTACAGCTGAGTTGAGGTGCTAGAGAGAAGGAAAGCAAGGGGGTGAGGAAGGGTGTCTGGGCTACAGCGTATCATGCCGGCCTGGAAGTGAGAGGACAGGTCTAGCCCCAGAGAGGTCAGCTTCCCTCTGTGTGGCCTTGGCCAAGTCACTGAGTGTCCTCACCACTCACCCGCTTTCCCTACCGCCCCCCAAAAGCCAAGGTCTGCTGATAGTTTGTTTTCCTTGGTGGCTTAGAGGGGACCACTGTCTCCTGAGCATCAGGTGCTGAGCAGGTGCTGGGTCCTAGAATGAAGACTCTGTTGGCACCCCAGCCTCTCTGACACATGGGGTGGTGATGAAGCCAGAGAACCGGCAAGGCAGCTGTGGTTCATCGACTTGTCTGAGAGGCTGTTAGCTTTTGAAATCAGACAGGAAGGAGGGTTGAGGTGGAGCCGGCACAGGAAGAGGTGAAGAGCCGGGCTGCTGTGACAAAGCGGTGGGCTCGGGGACTGCAGGAGCCGGTGGGCTGTGTCCCTTGCTGCCCCGAGCAGGGCTGTACTCCTTCCCCGGACGGATCCTGAGGGCTCAGGGCCCAGCCAACTGGCCACAGAGAGACCCAGCACATCCCCACCACTGCCCAGCTGACCCCACTGGAGCAGGGCTAAGCCTGGGAGCACTGGGATGGAGCAGCCCCTGGCTCCCTAGTCTTGGCATCCCAGAGGCAGCAAGACCCAGGAGGTAAGTAGAATCCAGGCTGCCTCAGTGCAAGATGTGGGAGGAAGTGGAGACGCCCAGCAGGAGGGGCCATGACTTTTGAGGCTGAGTTGCTCTGGGACAGGGTGGCTGGGGGAACTCCAAGAAGGTGTCCCCATGGTGCCAGGAGCTGCAGAGCAGGGCTAGTTCATGGTGTGGAATAAACAAATGTACCCCAGGACAGCAAAGGGGACAAAGCCCAGCTCCCCAGGTACCAGTGATGGGACAGGAGGAGCAGGAAGTGGCTGGAAAGTGCCGTAGGCAGGCCAAAGGGGTGCTGAGCAGCACAGCCCACTAGTTAAGCCTGAAATCAGCAGACCTAGCACCATTCTTATACCCCCTTCCACTGTAACATGGAGGTGACAGTACTAGACCTACCCTAGGGCCCTGAGCAGCTCCCAGCACCCTCTCCCAGCTCCACTCTTGGATCGAGATGAGGTTCAACATGCTGAGAGGAACAGTAACCATGGAGGCCTTCTCAGAGGAGGCACCGCTGAGCAGGGGTGGCTGTTGTGTAGGGTCCTCCCTGTTGGCCAGGCCCCAGGGTTCCTCCCAGTCCCCTGGTGGAGGCACATGCTTTCCCAAAGCCCAAGGGCTTACTCTTGACCATCACAGGCCATCCTGTGGCCGACTTTCAGAGGAGGGCACAGACTGGGTGTTCCCTCCTCTGTCCCAGGGGTGCTGGGACAAAAAGCTGTTTGGTCTCAAGTCAGGAGAGAGGGGCATCCAAGAAGCCGTGGCCTGAGATACGCAGCCCAGGCAGGAGGTCAGCACTGCAGGCCCCTACAGTCACCCCACGCAGGTGGGCAACGCAGAGGCCACAGTTCACACACAGGCCAAGCAGACAGCTAGGACTGAGGCCCCTGGGAGGAGAGCACAGGACAAGATGAGACCCACTGGCAAAGTCAGTGAGTAAATTGGGACCTGGGTCTCCTCGGGGATAAGGCAGAAGCCCAGTTGTCAGCCTGAGGGACACCAACAGGAGCACAGGTCCTCAGCTGAGCCCGGCCCCATGGATGAAGCTCTGGGGGAATGTGTGGGAATGAGGAAGCCCAGCTTCATAGAAGCGGCAGGGGTCCCAAAATTGTCCGTCTGGCCTTGCCCTGCATCCTCCAGCTCAGACCCTCTGCAGACTGAGGGCCTT